CGAGTTGTGAATAAGACACCGTCATAAACATGATATAACGCCAGTCACAAATATGAAGTAAGTCTTTGTGAATATTTATGACTTTTGTCATAAAGTGTCATTCGGTAAATCATGACACTTTCAATACAAAGTTGACATTATTCAATATTTCTTCGCTGTGACAACTTGACATTAACTAAGAAATCATGATCTGACCAATTTGTTATAAAACTATTACTAATTAAACTTTAAAAAATTATGTATCTTTCTGTGGTTAAAGCTCAAATTTAAAAGTTAAGCTAAAACATTATAAAAGTCTCTGTTTTGGTTGGCACTCACATTTTTCACCTACTAAATAGCTCTTTACCATACACCTTTTTCACTTACACTTTTAAAGGCCTCGCCTTTTCTCCTCCAAACATATTGCTGGGTGTTGTGGCCAAACAGCTCGATTTTTGTTTTGTCTGACCACAGAACTTTCCTCCAGAAGGTTTTATCTTCGTCCATGTGATCAGCAGCAAACTTCAGCCGAGTCTTAAGGTGCCTTTTCTGGAGCAAGTGCTTCTTTCTTGCACAGCAGCCTCTCAGTCCATGGCTCTTGACCATCCTGACCAATCTCCTCTCGGCAGCATGTGATAGCTTGCATTTTCTTCCTGATCGTGGCAGTGACACAACTGTTCCATGCACTTTATACTTGCGAATAATTGTCTGCACAGTTGCTCTTGGGACCTGTAGCAGTTTTGAAATGGCTCCAAGTGACTTCCCTGACTTGTTCAAGTCAATAATTCGCTTTTTCAGATCCACACTGAGTTCCTTTGACTTTCCCATTGTAGCTTTGAGGCTGAGTCTAATCACAGGGTCAAATGAGCCCTATTTCAATGGGCTCAAGAACAGTAAACAACTGTAGTCAATCAGAATCACTTACAAGAAGTGAAGAGACCATGACATGAAGCTAATTTGATTGACAAAACTCTCTACATCACCAAAATTTACCATTTATGTTGCTGTATGTATATTTTTGATCTAGCAGATTTGGTGACATTTTCAGCAGACCCATAATAAATTTATGAAAGAACCAAACTTTATGACTGTTTTTTGTGCCAAACATGTATGTGTCTCGATCACTCTATCACAGAAAAGGAAAAGTTGTAGAACTTATTGGGAACTCAAGACAGCCATGACATTATGTTTTTTACAAGTGTATGTAAACTTTTGACAACAACAATACATACATACATAAATATATGTATGTATACATATATATGTTTATATACATATATAAATGTATTTATATACGTACAGATATATATATATATAAACATTTTTCCGGACTATTCAGTGATTTATCATCCTCTCTCATCTCTCCTGCAGAACCAGGAAACCGACTTTCTTTCTTAACATTATATATTCACCAAATCTAAAGTTCTAGCTCCTAATCTCTGGTTTGATGCAATAACCCTTGAATATCTCATCCAAGAATGTTCAAGGTTTGTTGGTGGATGGCAGGAAGGATCTCCAGTGTTCAATCTTCCAGTGAATCTGAAGAAGACTGTGACTGAAAACAGTGTTGCTGTCTGACATTTTGATGACTCATGTAACGTGTCCCAAAAAGCAACCAAAAGAAAGAAAAACCAACATGAACAAAAACCGACAGGAAAAATAAACGACAGCCACGTCAACAGCGCATCCCCATCTGATACAGGAAGGAAGGTGAGGGGCTGCTGATTAGTGCGGCAGAGATCTCCATGGTCAACACTCTTTGTATGATGTCACAACTAGTCATGCTTGTGATGTCATCATCTCTGTTCTCTTATGTAGCAAACTTCCACCTTCTGCTCATTGCTAGCTACACGATGACCAGTTCAGACGTACGCAAAGCGCCAATAAAGTCGAGGTTGACATTGTTTGCAGATCGAGATATGCCGTATCAAAGGCCACAGCATCCCAAAGGAGGGTTCAGATCCCAGCCGAGGGCGTGGAGAGGTGGACAACAACAACAAGGATGGAGTGAGACAGAGCGTCTCCCGCTGAGCTCCAGAGAGAACTCCAGAGACTTGGCTCTCTCTTGGAAATGGAGCGAGCCAAGTGGTTTCAAGAGAACCAAAAGGTGCTCATTCTGGAGAAAGAGCTGAAAGACACCAAAGCTGAGCTGGAAAAGCAGAGAAATCTCAAGAAGGTTTTTTATCAACAGGGGCAAAGAAATGAAGAGAACACTGCTGGCAGTAGAGAAGTTTGCCGATTCTGAGACTCTCAACCCTGTCGCCATCGCTTCCACTCTCCACGAAGTAAGACACAAGAGGAAAAGGCTGCTGCAAGAGGACCTGGAGCAGCTGAAGGTGTCTTGCATTGTCAACGAGGAAGCGTTCACCTCAGAAATCAAGGCAGAAAAAGAAAGAGGTGACGCCCTCCACAAAGAGCTGGAAGAAATGAAGACGCGATACGAGGAGCTTAAATCAAATATGAAGCCAACGATCGTGAGGAGAAGCTCCAGGTCGAATCTAAGATGTTTTACGAGGAGAAACTCGAGCAGAACGAAAAGCGCTTTGAAAAGCTGAGAGCCGAGAAGGAGGACCTGCAACGACAAATGTCCCAGGAGATAGACAACTTTAGAGAAACAGAGAGTCTTCTCCGAAGTGAACTGGAACAGACTAAAGATTCTCACCAGAAACTTATGGCTACATATGAAAGGGACGTTTCTGCTCTAAGAGAGCAGGCACAGATATTTAAGCAGTACGTCGATAAGGAGGTAAATGCTCTTTCCTACAAATTGATGAGGGACCTAAAGATTATTGATGAACTGGAGTCCGAGAAAGACCAGCTCCAAACAACTCATGGCATTCCGGCAGATGCACTCTATCAAGAAGGTGAGCTACAAAAGAAGGTTGGAAAATCTGGAGACGACGCTGCAAAACACCGAGGAAGTCGGACCTCCGATAAGAAAAGTGGCCAGACTTGACGACAGTGTGCCTGAAAACAACGTCACTGATGATATGGATCTGGACAGTCTCATAGAGGAGATGCTGTCAGAAGAAATGGAAGTACCTGATGCATCTCCAGAGGAGCTAAATGACTTTGTAGAGGAGATGCTGACAGATTCAGCCATTCTATATCAAAATCACATGGACGTCAGAAACTTCTTTATGTGAAAGAGGCGAGAAAACTGAAAGCTCAGATCCTGAGCCCGCGGAGGCGAGAGGCCCCTCAACAAGTCTGGAGAAGATGCTGCTCTATCTGGATCTCAGGAATCTGCAAAATGAGACAAATGCAAGGAGGCCACTAAAACAAGAAATTAGAACCCTTTCAAAAATGTCCAAATATTGCACAATAAAAACAGTAATATTCCGTAGCTTAGCCACAGCCACACAGAAGAGATGTCTCAGTTTTTGACTGGGCGCCTCTTTCTATTTGTGGTTGTAGGTTGTTTCTTAGTGATTGTGGGTTTCTCCGGGTGCTCCGGTTCCCCCACTAAAGTCTGGTAAATTGGCCAATATAAAGGATGTCTTAAAGAAAGGGCTCATTGGTTTCAAAAACTGTTAAATGGTTCATATTTGAGAAACATATGTGCCATTTAAAGACACTGCAGCTCATACCTGGAATTGTTTGCAGAACTGGAATTTCCAGATACAGTTGGAATCAAATTGAGCTTCTCTATGCATATTTTGTGAGGCGTCTACTCTTTGCAGAATCTACATACCCACTCTCCTAATTATCCCCTCCATGCTGAGTCTGGGCTGCTACCATCAAGCAGCTCAAATACAGAACAAATGATAGGAAAACACTTTTAGGCAGGATGTATAATAAATTCTAAATATAATATTTGGAGTTCATAATTACAGTCTATATATAAATATATCTATATATACATACATAAAAATATGTGTATATATACATTCATCTATAAATAAATGTATATATACAGATATAAATTAATATGTGTATATATACATATGTAAATGTATATATATATATATATATTATATATATATATATATATATATATATATATATACATACATACATAAATCTGTGTATATATACATATTTATGTATATATACATACATATGTAAATATATGTATATATACATACATAAATAAATATGTGTATATATACATATAAAATATATGAATATATACATACACAAATGAATATGTGTATGTCTCGTTATGGTGACAAACAGAGCAATGAAGGAGACTTGAATTTGATGGATTTATAAGCGGGGCTTTTTAGGTGAAACATCCGTCATTATTGAAGTCACTTCAACAATATAGAGGGTCAGAAAGAATGAGGGCGAAGTTTAAAGAGGTCTTTGACAGAAACCAATAATGTCTGATAATACCTTTCAGAGTTTCTTCCTCTCGAAAGCTTTGAGTTGAGCGCGCGAGCCGAACGAGCAGCGTGACGTTTAGATTGACGCTTACGTTGGTTCCCGTTCCTCCGTATTCTGATAAAGTGCGTCTGTATCACGTTAATACCAGAGCAGGGGAACCTCCTCTGCAACATCACTTTCCAACTCGTCCAGTTTGAGTGACAGCCAGCGCGCGCGACCCGCGCAGTGATAGAAATTCAGAGATGCGCGAGCACGAGCCGCGACATTGCTCTGTCGTCACAGCTGTGTTGCATTCTGGGAGCTGTCCAGTGCTGAAACGGGCTATACTGCCAGAACCCTCAAAATGGTGTTTGGTGTTTTCTTTTTTTATGAACAAATGAAACACAAAATACACATTGAAATGTGACATATTTATTAAATGTAACAAGTTTGTACAAAATGAAATAAAATAAAGAAAGCTTAGCTTTTTTAATGCTCAATCTAAGGAGAAACATCATTTATTTTTTCATCCATTAACTTCAGCCAATTGTTCCCATCTTTTGTCTGCAGCATTGTAGAAATAGGAAACAATAAACATGACATTAAGAGCACATAGAAACATCATGAAAAAGTCCACAGTGCTTAGACTGTAATATAATACAATACTATAGTTTATTTCCAAAAGACAGAGATTTAATACGAATTCCCTTACAGTATCACTTAATACAACTAAATATGTTTTAATTATGTAACAGAGAAAATAGATGATTATATATTTCACACTTTCACAGCATTTTGGATCAGAGACATATATTAGTTATATTTAAAAGTACCAAAATAGATAAGCATGTACACAAACATCTAAGTTTGCATGGTGTGCTAAAAGGCAGATTCACCTTCCAGAGTTGCCCCTGATTTGATTTCAGAATAAACTGATTCATCTGTTGCTGCAGGTTTTTCTGTGAATGAAGATAATTAGCATTAATAATAACAAAATCAACAAGCAGGAATTTAATTCCCAGTGTTATGCTGATCCTAACACTGTCCACACACAAAGCTTACGCCATTAGTTAAAAAGTATTGCATATAGAGGAAAATCTGCAAAGTCATACATCCAAAATGCTAAAAAGGATTACTAGAACTGGGAATTATGGTGAAAATATCTCATCAATTTACAATCTAAAATGATTTTATTAAATATGTTGCATATGAGAAACTGAGTGCAAACTGAGTGTTACCTCTCCTGTTTCGCTTGGCTCTGTTCTTATTGATTTCAGCGTACGTTGGAGCGAGTTCTGAAACAGGAAACTCATTTAATCAAACACAGGAATGGTTTACACTATATTGTGTACCAAAAAACCACAGTAAATTTATGTCCGATTCTGAAAAGCTGAAACCAAATTCAAGAGAGACAGTTTGTTTTTCCATTTCAATAACAGACTGCATTTGACAAAGGAAACATCCAACACTGTGTCATCTTGAGGAAGCTAAAACTTCACAAAGGGGAAGGAAAATTTTCTTTTCACAAATTTGCAGCTGTGTGGCTACATGGGGAGGGGTAATATATTTAAAAACACTTGCTACACTGCAAAATTAACATGCAACAAATGTTTTAATGAAACACACAATCTGTAAAAGTGTTCAGTCCCTCTGTTTCTGCTGATGTCAAGAGAGAGTTTGCAGTCAATGTTACAGATAGATATGTTCATTATTTTTGATGATGATGAAGTCATAATAAACAAATCATTTCAAGAATCATTTCCTGCATACTAAACTGCAAAAGAAATTTGGTCAACAGGAAGATTTGAAGCTGCAAAAACAATAACATAAATGTATTAGTATTAGTAATGTCTGCTCATTTATATTTAAGACATTTGCAGCTTTTGTAATGTCACTTTTTTTTTTTTGCTATTTAAGACATAAAAATACTGAGGGTTTTTTTCCCTTCTCCTGACTGATGCCTTGCAGTTTATCATAACTCTGTGATCAGACAGTAAACATTAGGATCTCTTGGAAAATATTAGAAGTGCTGCACAGTATTTTAGATTAATCAGAATCAAAATGAGCCAAACAGCACTCAGCATTTTTATTGCTATTGTCCTATAGTTTGTATGTAATTGAAGATTAATTTATGATTCTGGTAAATTATACTAGATATGTTAGATTAAAAAAAAAAAAATATAATATATATATATATATATATATATATATATATATATATATATATATACATACATACATACATACATACATATATATATATATATATATATATATATATATATATATATATACATATATAGCTATATATTTGATTCTTTCTCTTTTGACATTTTTACATATACTTGTAGAATTATGTTAGATGATCTGAACCTGCAGGGTATTGACACGAAGACACATTTTGATATAAAGTCCGACTGACTTTACCTGCAGCACTTGTGTTCACTTCTGCGTAAATAACGGGCTCCTCAGGTTTATTTTGAGATCGACAAAACAAAGACACACAGTTAGAAATCATTCAGTTGTCATCTTGTGCGTAGAAGGTTTGTAATTTTGAACTCACTCTTTTTTCGGAGCTTTTTGAATTTAATGGCGGTGTACGTTACTTCACTGGGTTCAGCTGCAGCAAAAAATGTTTCACAATTTTAGATCGGCTTGTTTTCTTAAGCGCTCCAGTTGTGTGTTCATCTGCTTTAAACAGAAATACTTCACCAGCTGCAGTGGCTTCACAGACAGATCCACAGAGAGCAGCACCAGGTTAATAGTTATGTAATAACCAGTTACAAAGAACAGCTGGTTTTTAAAAACTTTGAGACAAAAGTGTTTTAAAGTGCATCCAACATTGATGAAATGCTGGTAAATATTTATGTATGTAATTTCTTAGTTTCCTATTTTTAATACATTTGGAAAAATCTAACATTTTCCACATTATTATTGTTGGGTATTTGTGTGGAGAATTTTGAGGAAAGAGATTAATTAAATTTTCACAGCACAAGCTGCGATATAAAAGGCCGACAAAGTGCATAGATGTGAATACTTATCGGATGCTCTGTAATTGGTTGTATGTTTTGGGATTTTCATTTATTTTCTTTGAACAGTAGTCTAATAGGCCATCAGCATTAAAGTCATACAGTTAGAAAGTGAAATTATTCAAGACAAAAATATCTTGCGTTTATCTGAAATCATTTTTTATATATTTCAACTGAATCTCACATTTCATTCTTGATAAGTTTATTGTGTCATAACAGATCAGTTTTATGGTGGCCTATTTTAATTACGAACATAAACATGCAAATATTAAACATACTGAATAAATATGTGAGTTGATGACAAAAATAAAAAGATGTAAACGCATCATGAGAAGAATATGATTAAATTCTGACCTGGAGTAGCAGAGCTACTGACACTGAACTCATTCTCCGCTCCTTGATTGATGGTCGACCTCTGACTGTTTTTTTCTGATCTAAAACACAAATAGATAAAAGTTACAGCAAACAAGTACAGAGATCTGTGTTCTTTATCAAGGAAAGGAAAGTAATGACTGACCTGAAAGAGCATAAATCTGTGGAAAAGACATTTCTTGTTACTTATTCTGTGGTTCAAATCATTCGTCACATAGAACAGAATAAATGTGTGCCTTTGATTAAAGGGTTTAAATAAACAATGTGATCGAACCTTTGTGCTGCTTGTAGCGCCACAATAAGAGCAGGAAAATAATCAGAATGATTCCACTAATGGGTCCAATGATCAGCAGTAAAGGAGACGAGGAGGGAACAGGACTGGACACAGTTCCTAAAATATTAAACATTGAAAGGAAACAAAGGTATAATTCACATCCACATTGACATATTCATTTCTCACCTTGAGCTCCAACAACTGGATAAAACTAAATTACAAACATTTTAATCCTCCTCACCTCTAACAGACATCCAGCTCTTTAGTGACTCTTTTCCTGAATGTTTTACATTTGTAGAAACCTTCATCTGACTTTGACACTGCAGAGATCTTCAGCTCCTCTCTGCTGTCATTATTGATGAGTTTATCATTATGATAGAAAACACATTGGAGAGAAACTGTTGTTGTTTATTTCTGCAGCTCAGAGTCACGGGATCTCCCTCAGTCACAGGATGAACAGGCTCACCAGGATAACACGATCATCATAATCATCTGTAAAATAGACAGAATATCAACTACTGACAAGCAATCAACTGTTGACAAACTTTTGAAAAAGCTGCTTCTGTCATGAAAAGGTGAGTAGTGGAGGTGGTGAGGCAGACGCTGGAGACCAGGTAGGTGAATGGTGAGTAATTTAATAAAAACAGTCCACAAAAACACAGTCAACAGAGTCCGCGGCCAGGCAGCACGGCTGAGCGGAAGCCAGGGCTCAACGCCGGTAGCAACTGGTCATACAGGCGGTAAACACAACAACAAAAATCTGACAACAATCTGACAAAGACCCGACGAGGAACAAAGGACACAGGAGGGACTAAATACACTGAGGGTAATCAGGGGAACAAGACACACCTGGGAACAATCAAGGGGAAGACAGGACAACGAGGAGACTCAGGACACAGAAACTCGGAATTAAAACACAGAAAAACACAGAACCTGACAGATTCAGTTATTTATGTAGATTTTCTATCTTTGAGTGTTAAACCGAGCCAATGGAAAACACAATCAGTCTCTATTTTTTCATAAATTTTTTGATAAATAATTTCAAATATTTCAAGAATCATTTCCTGCATACTAAACTGCAAAAGAAAATCAGTCAAAAGGAAGATTAGAAGCTGCAAAAACAATAACAGAAATGTATTAGAATTAGTATATCTGCTCATTTATATTGAAGAAATGTGCAGCTTTTGTAATGTCACTTTTTTTTCTCTTCCTATTTAAGACATGGAGCTAAGGTGTGAATTCAAGCTGGGAGACAGAACACAGCTGATCTACATCACAGCTGATCCACTTCAATCACGTCACACCCCGCTGCGGCCAATCAGGATCGGCGCCCTTGCGCGTCCCATACCAATCAACGTCAAGCCTTGTCCATTCAAGAAGTCGAGCCTCCGGGCACCCACCTCCTCCCCATCTCCACCTTCAGCCCGATGACCATTCTCCAGGCGCTTTACGCGCTCCTCCATCCAAGGCTCCGCTCCATCACCAGTATTCGGACCGGGGGGTAAGACTAGGGAGCTTCGCCGGACTCAGCATCTTCCCCCGATCTACGCTCACTAGTCTTCTGCCGGTTCGAGCGCCAAAGATTTGTTCATTAAAATCTTCTAACTGCTTATTTTTCTCTGTGTGAGTTGATCCAGATTGAAATAAAATACTGAGTGTCTGCTCTCTGTGGATCAGTCAAGCCTTCTGAAGCCACTGCAGCTGGTGAAGTATAATTTACCAGAATCATAAATTCATCTGCAATTACATACAAACTATAGGACAACAGCAATAAAAATGCTGAGCGCTGTTTGGCTCATTTTGATTCTGATTAATCTAAAATACTGTGCAGCACTTCTAATATTACATAGTAATTATTATTTTTGAATTATTATTGATGGCAAAAAATTTCACACATCAACCTAAAAATTGCATTATTTTAGATGAATACATATTAAACAAAATAAAAAAACTGCAATGAGACTCCGTTTCACAAAGACAAGAGACATGAGAGATTATATAACATTTTTCAATGGATTGTTAATATGCGGTTATAATTTTTCAAAGTTCTAATATTATAATATTTTGTACAATAATATTAAAGTTAGCATATTTTAATATAAACCTACTGTACATTTGTAACATTCTTATTTTCAAGCACTTCTGGATGGATGCAAACTGCATTTCTTTGCTTTGTACTTGTGACGTGAAATGACAAAGTTGACTTTTATTATATTCTAAACATTTGATTATTAGTGATTTTGATCCACGTTCTACACCTATGGAGTTATCTGTTATTTTTCCTAAAATTTACTTGGATCACACGCTTATAAAACAGAACAGGTAAAGGAAGAAGTTCAGCTGCTCAGTTTTAAAGGACAAAAAATGTTAACACCCTTCAGCTCCATCTGTCAAATACTGAATTTGGCTTCATTAATTTATAAAATTTACCTGAAGAGAAAATGTAGGAAACACGAAATTCCTGTAGAGATATGTCTACAGGAACTCTAGTCATTCTGAATAATAAAAAGTAAACAAAATTAACTTTTTAAAAATTTATAACCTACTTTGTACAGTGATGTTGACTGCATTGCTGAATTCTCCTGATCCAGACTCACACCAGTAAACTCCACTGTGAACCTTCAGTCTCTTAATGGTACATGAGGATTCAGGCATCCTCCCCCAGTTGAAGCACTGAACATATGATAGACTGGTTGATTCTGTAAACCTCTTCACTCTCCACTTGGTGTTGTTCCCAGTGCAGTTCAGTGTGACAGACTGATAAATGAAATGTTGAACTCTGTCAGGACTCACTGAGAGAGAAGCTGCTGGATGAGAGTCTGAAAAAAACACAGAATTTTACAGAATTTTCTTAGCAGTTGTGTTGAGAAAATGTAAAAAACAATGTTCATTGAGCTGTGATTGTAAAATAAGCTGTAAAATGATTAGTGTAAAAACCAAAGACACCAAAAACAACAACAAAAAAGAAAAAAAGAAAATACGAGTAACATGAAATAAATGTTGATCTTATTAAAGTTGTTGATATAATTTTTTTAAAAATAAGAAAAGAGTCCATAATGTCAGACTTTCAGAGCATTGAGGTAGCAAACTAATGGGCACAGCGATAATCTGCTAATTGTTTCTTTGTGACAGTTAAAAAAGAAATGGTCAAAAACGACGCCAAGCTTTTGACCTTTAAATGTTAAAAGGGAAGGAAATTAAAAAAATTTACAATCTTCTATCAAATATTTCTGCAAATAATTCATAGTTAATCAAACATCTCAATAGCATTTAAATAATGTGATTTACAAATGTAGGTTAAAATGGTTAATACATCAATGAAGATTTAAAACGTGAAAACATCACACAATATTTTTATTTTGTAAAACACTACTAAAACTCTAAGTACACATAACAACCAAAACGACTGAGAATGAAACAACGTATTAATAAAAGTTCAGCAGGTAACTGGCTGCTCTGTCAGCTCCTTCTTCAAGTTATTGCAGCTGACCATGTGCCACAGCTCCCCCTAGTGGTTCCAGACGGAAACATTCTCCTTATAGCTTCTGATCCCATAAACACTTTACTGTATTCTGGTTGTAGTTCTCTTCATCACTGACTTTCAGCAGAAAGCTAAATAATTTTGTCATGTTAACTCATTCTACCATTACACAAACCCTACGGAAAAACATTCGGCAACTGCTGCTTCCAACTTCTATTTTTTTCCCCAAACTATTTAATCAGAGTCAAAAGCTAATTCTTTGCCTAAGATGTGCAAAACTTTGAAAAGAGTGAAATGACTGAGGATCACATCCATCAT